GGTGGAGGCACAATGGATGGATGCTTCCTGTATCAGGATAATTGGACAACTGCCTGCTTTTGAGGTTTGCAGTCTGTGGGTGCTTCTGGGTCTCCTTTGGCTGATAAGACAGCGACAGCTGTTTCTCGGCCAAGATAGCCTGACCACTGTTGTCCATGTGCTGGTAACCTCCAGGCTGGATTACTACAATGCACTCTAGCTGGGTTGCTGCAGCTGGTGCAAAATGCAGTGACTCAACTGCTCACTGCGGCAGGATATTACCACATTACCCTGCTGTTGAGAAAATTGCATTGACTGACAATTAGCTACTGTTTCTGGTTTTGGTGTATAAAGTCCTTTACAATTTGGGTCCAGGATACCTGAAAGATTGTCTCACTCCTTTCATACCTACTCAGTCTACTCATAGGTCTATTCCACACAACGCAGGAATCATAGCTATGGGAATCCCCTGTCCCTGAATATTAGACAGGTACTCTCTCTGTTGTTTCTTCTGTCTACTGAAGTTCTTTTTCTTTCACAAAAGAAAGCTGAGATCTTTCCCAGTCCGCATGTGTATTGGAATGGTTTTTAAGATTTTTTCCCAAGATTTTTTAAAAAAATATGTTTTCATTTTCTAATACACAGAAATAATAATAATTGCTATAAAGGAGAGAGAGCGAGCGTGCACTTGTTACTTGCCACCTTCGGTTCCTCTGGGAGGATAGGATAAAATAGGATAAAAATAATAATTAATAAATGACTAATGTAATGCATTTTTTATTTATATTTTTGTTGTTGTTGTTGTTGCTGCTGTTATGCCACCCTATACCCGGAAGTCTCAGGGCAGTTCACAGAATTAAATCAAAATATAAAACCACAAAATATATAATCAAAATAAAAACAACCCAATAAGATCCCCCCCAAAAAACCCACATTTTAAAAGGGTATAGGATGTCAATCAAATCAACCAAAGGCCTGGTTAAAAGGGAACATTTTTGCCTGGTGCTTAAAGGTGTATAATAAAGGCACCAGGCAAACTTCCCTGGGGAGAGCATTCCACAGACAGGGAGCCACTGAAGAGAAGGCCCGTTCTTGTGTTGCCACCTTCTGGACCTCTCGAGGAGGAGGCACACAGAGGACGGCCTCAGAAGGTGATCTCAGGGTCCAGGTAGGTTCATATGGAAAGAGGCGGTCCTTGAGGTATTGCAGTCCTGAGCTGTTTAAGGCTTTTTAGGTCAAAACCAACACTTTGAATTGGGCCCAGAAACTAATTGGTAGCCAGTGCAGTCGGACTAGGATCGGTGTAATATGCTCAAACCATCTTGCTCTGTTGAGCAACCTGGCTGCTGAATTCCACACTAGCTGAAGTTTCCAAACCATCTTCAGAAGCAGCCCTATGTATAGTGAATTGTAGTAATCTAACCTTGAGGTTACCAGCAGGGGCGTACGAATGTGGGGCGGGTTGCCCCAGGTGCCACCCTGGGGGGGTTACAAGATGGCCCACTGCCTCCCCCCCCATCTGTAGAGCAGCCGAGGGCACGTGCGTGCCGTCCGTACAGGCTGCCGCTCAAGCATCGTCCATATGGGCACCACGTGTGCGCAGCTGGCAATTTGCCCTGCCCCACCGCACCCCGCCCTGGGTGCCAGAGAGGCTTCCTCCACCACTGGTTACCAGAGCATAGATATCAATAGTTCAGCTATCCCTATATAGATAGGGGCATAGCTGGGCCACCAGCTGGAGCTGATGGAAGGCACTCTGGGCCACTGAGGCCACCTAAACAATTCAATGCATAATAAGATGCTCTGTAGCAAATCTCCTTAACAAGAGATTTAGTTTTTAAATGGCTGTTACAGCTGCAAAAGCAGGAAGTATACAGTGGTGCCTCGCAAGACGAAATTAATCCGTTCCGCAAGAGTCTTCGTCTAGCGGTTTTTTCGTCTTGCGAAGCAAGCCCATTGACGGATTAGCGCTATTAGCGCTATCAGCTGTTTAGCGGCTATTAAAGGCTTAAAGGCTTAGGGGATTAGCTGCTAAAAGGCTATTAAAGGCTATTAAAGGCTTAGCAGATTAGATAAAGGGGGGGAAAAGCGAAAAAAAATCTCAAGACTCGCAAGGTATTTTCGTCTTGCGAAGCAAGCCCATAGGGGAATTCGTCCTGCGAAGCAACTTCAAAACGGAAAACCCTTTCGTCTAGCGGTTTTTCCGTCTTGCGAGGCATTCGTCTTGCGGGGCACCACTGTACAAGGGAAAGGGTTCATCGTATTCAGCCTGTGCTGTCCCTTCTATACCATATGGCTATTTATCAGACTATCTCTTTGGCTCTGCGAAAAGGTGTTGTGCAACAAATCTGTGCAAATCCCAATCTTGACTTTTCCAAGCTGTGCCAATGCTACCTTTCAACTCTGTTTTCAGAGCCTGATTACCTCATTTGCGAAACTAACATAAAATACTTTGTGCTAGAAAAAATACTGGTACATTAAAAATTGTGTATTGTGTTTTAGATCATTGTTCCATTTTGCTTTAAATTCATCTTCCATCTCCTTTAAAACTGGGCTGTTAGGCTCTGCCATACCTCCGGTAACCACAGAAGACACAGGGGGCAGGGGAAATAAAGGCTTTTAATTATGCTGTAGAGAACCCAGGCACCACTTCAGCTGTGCAGCTGGAACCCCAAACTCTAATAACTAAACCAGCAAATGTGTGTAACTCAGATGAAAGGAAACCTTGAAATATGTAATTTAGGCTATTATTTACACAGCATGCCGGTTTTGATATCTTGACCTCACAATAATAGATCACAATTTTTTTCTTGTGCCCTGGAGTACCTGATAAAATGATGCCTCCTACCTTCTGGAGGTATTGCATTGGCAAGGATTGCAATTACTTTTACTGTCATAATTTATAAACCAATATACAATCAGTGTTATATTTAGTACTATGGAGTTCTAAAATGCATGGGGAGCTTTCATGAATTTTAGAAGTCGCAAGTTGGAATGTGACCCAAACTGTGGTGGTGGTGGTGGTGGTGTGAAGCTTATGACTCACCCCTTGAATGTTAAGTAAACACAATTTCAAAAATCTGAATACATTCTGCCAATTTCAAATGGCACAGAGGAAAGGAGATTGGAAGTAGGAAAATGGCATTCCTCTTGAATCTAGCGTTTAAAACAACAGCTTCATACTGTTGTGTTCTGATAGACCTGAATATGAACTGAATGTCCTATTTCTATGCTTTGAGTCTCCAGCAAGAATTATCTGGCTTTTATTATTGTTTCATCTGCATATTAGACTAAGGAATTCAGAGCAACGTGTTTGTCTCAAGCAACCCTGCGATGAAGCCTCAGCTTGGGATACACTATCATGCTCTGCTGGGACTTGGTGCTCACCAGGGAAATGATAGAGATTCCCAGAGTCTCTTCCTGTAAAACCAGGCCCTATCAGGACTCTAGCTACTCCCAGTGGACTCTTCTGGCTGAGCTTTGGAAGGTGGTGTTTCAGCTGAGAACCAAAGTTATCCGAAGAGTGCCAAGGCTTCCCTTCTAGTGGTTCCACCCTCTTGGGTGAGCTGGGTGCAATCTTTTAAGTAGCTCACTTTAGTTGCATGCTCCTGCATGGCTGTGGAACAGGAGACGCTATGGGGGAGTCATCCCCAGAGGGGAGGATGCTGGAATATCTGTGTCCTCAGGCAAGGAGGGGTAGAAGGGGTTGCTGTGGGTTCCACCTCCCCACTGAGCAGGGGTTGACTTGTGGGTGTGGATGCAGGGGACATAACATTAACTGGCTCGTGACTTCACAGGGGTAGTAGGGATTTGAATAATGCCACATTCAAACCCAACATTTTAGCCATCACACCACACTAACTCTGCTCTTAAATTGACTTTTCTGTTCGAGCAGTATTGCAGCATAAGATTTCATGAACTCAGGCCTGCTTCTTCAGATGTGTAAAGTATTATCCTCACTGACTTGATGAGGAGAGGGTTGGGGTATGCAGGGGGTGGGGGATTCTCATACTGACTAACTCTTATTGACTAGCTGTGGAATAAAATCAATTATATTTGGAACTTTGGAAACTAATAGAGGCTTAAGCTTAAACTTGCTCCTAAGTAACCCCTCCAAGGGTCACATGTTGCAATTCATAGTCATGTAGCAGGGGACTAATTGTAGTAAGGGCATGGATGATCACTCTTTTCATGATATCTGTGTTTAAGGTAGCAACCATTTCTGCACAGCTATGTTGTACATTTAAGTACACAAATATGCAGCAGATGGTAATGTCAAAATATTATTCTCTCTAATCAAAAGATTGCCCAACATAAGCTATGGCTGGAAATGCTGGCTGGGTCTGAACATGCATGCTTTGCCAGCAATGTACAAGGAGTTACGTTCTAGGAGGGACTGTGAACTTACTTGGATGCCTTCTGTGGGAAAATACTTTAGTTGGTTGATGGCATCACTTTTCCTTAAATATGCTGAAGAATTTCTTAAACTCTTGAGCTGCTTATTATTTGAGACCCTGTCATGATGGAAAGCTTTAATTTACTTGAGGTCACAGAAGAGGGGGAGTAATAGGAGGCAAGCTGAACTCTAGATGATTCCTGGCTGATTTTGCCTCTGGCTAAACAGTGATGTTGTAGAAAGGCTTCTGTGCCAAAAATGCTTCACCAGAAATTAGCTCCTTTTGATTTAAGAAAAATGGATCCATCATCCTTTGGGTTCGTTTGTTTGAAACCTGAATCAGTTTAACATTTTTTTTAAAAAAACACCAATGTATTAAATATGTTTATTTCGTGGTTCAGTAATACTACCAACCCCAGCTGCGGATGTTTGGGCAAGGTCAGCTAATATGGCACCTTCTAGATGCTGTTCGACTACAGCTACTATTAGCACCAGTCAAGATAGGCAATGGCCAGGAACAGTGGAAACTGTGGTCCAATATCTGGAAGGTACCATGATGACTACCTGGTAGTTGGAGAATGAATGGACTAGTATATGCCGAGATGTAGCTATAACTGCAAGATGTGTTCTGATAGCTCAGTTGGTAGACCATGAGATTCATAATCTCAGCACTGTGGGTTCTAGCCCCATGTTGGGTGAAAAGATTCCTGCATTGCAGGTGGTTAGACAAGATGATCTTTGTGGTCCCTTCCAACTCTATGCTTCTATGATTCTAACTTTGTCAGAGCAATGCTGGCTCAGGGAATAGCTTCAGTCACCACGGTATTGAATAGGTAGGGACAGAGAACAAGCATATAAGATTGCAGATTATTGATTTATTACCCACCCTTCATCTGCAACATTAAAAACAACTTAAAAGCCAGGGTAAAGAGGTACATCTTCAGCAATCATGGGAAACAGCACAATGAAGTTCCCAGACACACCTCTGTGGAAATGGAGTTCTACAACTTAGGGTCTACAGGGAAGGAAGTGGCCTTTCAGATATTTTGGGCTGGAGTTGTTAAGGCTTTAATGTGACCACCTCACCAGCTGAGCAATTGTGCTCCTCTGGTGGGAGTATGGCTTATGCCCTACAGGTACATTTAGTGGACTTTTAGAGTTGCAGGCCTAACCTGGTACCAACTGAAATTAGACAAATCGCTACCAATTTGATACTTAGGCAGGTATTGAAGATCTTTTGTTTAAAAAGGCTTTCCCTGTAGTGTGTGTACCCCAGGGAGGTCACTTCAGTGCTGGTAACACAGTGGTTTCACTTCACCCCCTGAGGCTTACTCCATTGTCTCTCAAGTAAGATGGGTGCCAAAAACTCTTTGGATACCCCTGTGAGGAGAGGAGGGGAGTGCTGTTTCTGTTTAACTGACTGGGGAGCAGAATTTCAGGCATTAACCTGTCTTAGTCACCCAGTAAGTCCACATCCAAGTTGAGATTTCAACAGAGATCTTGGAAGAAGTATGTTCTATACAGTGGCTGGGATTACACAGGCACTTGTTTCCTCCTTTGGCTGTTCTAGTAAAACAATTTTATTTGGGTGCTTAGCAGAAAACATAGTAAAATAATATTTTATTAGAAAAACAGTTAGGGGACTAGTGCTAAATATGAACATTTGTATTCAGGAATTGTTACTTCAGGGAACAATTAGTTTGCTTCACATTAACAGGCCTAATAAATGAGTTCTCCTGTCATTAGCGTGTTACTAACAGATGTGCAGTGACAGATGAAAAGTGTCCCCAACTGTGTTCTAATCCCAGAATTTGGCTCAAAACCGACACTGCTAAATTCTTATACAATCTGCTTAATTTCAAGATGGCGACTCCGATATCCTACATATAAGCTACTTCTATTTCTTACCCATCCTTCACCATAATGTCCCAGGGCATGTTATAACAATTTAAAAATATATTAAAAACATAACAGATTACAATAAAGAGAATAGGGTATATGAAGCATCTCTTTACTTTATTTGGCACAATGTATTTTGTGCTTTTCAAATGTTACTATGCTTGTAAAATTCACTATATTAATGCACAGATGGATTGTGGTGGCTCATGAATCTCACTTGTACCCAGCCTACTACTTGAGAAACATCATAGTAACTATTTATTTAGATATTTACATCTCTTTGTATGAAATTGATATTTATAAAGTATCTCTGAACAAATACCTGGATAGGAAGGGTGGGGTTTTGATAGCATTTTCCCCCCTGTATCCATGATTCATGGCTAATCTGGTTCGTGTGGTGATGGTTTTAGTACCTTCTTACCTTTGGCTAAAAATGTAGTCAAATCCAAGCAGAACTTCAGAAAAGCGCATTATTAATCTCCCCCCACCCCAACTGCTTATAATTGTGATTAATGGCTTTCATAAACCCATGTATTTGTTTTGAGGTACTAAAGGTATACCGCGAGATTATGTTTTTAAAGATTTGTTTAGGTATTATCAATTGTTTTGGGGAAAGAATGTTGCCTGAAAGTCTGAAATTATTAGAGTTCTTAAAATCTTGACTCTTTTCCAAGGCAGCCCCATCTTGCCTGCCCCAAGCATCTGTTTTTTCAATCTGAGGTTTTGGGATTTTGTTTTTATATTTTTGTAGGAAAGGGAGCTTTGTGAGGATTGCCTATGACAACCAATTCCATCTTGAATAAAGCTTTAGTATATATGCCCTTTGTTTCTTTGAGCCAAACTATACTACTAAAGCCTAATTAAATTATACCCCTCTCACATAATTTTTCTCCTTTTATTTAAGCATTAACCATTTCCCAGTCGTACTGAGTACAACAAGGAGTGCTGACGTTTATTATGGGAACACGATACCTAAAATCTATTGGGCCATTTTAAGTAACTGATTAAAGTCCCAGGAGTATTGGGGGAAAGATGCTTATTTGCAGAGTATGTGTACTGTGTACTTCACTGTGCAGAAGTTGTGGTGCACCTAGTCGTTTGAGAATGTTTCCATTTTTCAAAAGGTAAAATAAAATCCTGCTCTTCTGCTAATTGTGGCTGCAATTTGTTCAATGTAGGTGGGATAAGCTCAAGCTTCAGAATATCAGGTGGACCTTCTGCGTTCACCAAATTCTTTACTCTTCTCCACAAGTGATTCCGCAACAAAACATTGCAGTGTGTGGAGCTGTCCAGGGTTCCAGCTAGCCATGTCTTCTTCCAGGATACTTCTGTCTATTCCATTCATCCTCTCTCCCCTCCCTCCCATTTCTACCTCTGCCTACAATCATACAGCATCCCATGCCCACTGAGCAACTGTAGTCTCATTGAGCTATTCTTGTGATGCCCCTTCCTTCTGTGTTTTCTATTAAAATATTCCTGTACTTTTGCAAAGCTTGGAGTTCTCCCAAGCCTGCTGATACCTTCTTCTTGTGTGTGAATGGTTTCTCCCCTGCACCCCTGTATCAGGAACTACACTTGAAGAATGAGTTTGCTATTGACATACAGGACAGGATTGAAGAACTGGATCCAGCTGACGTCACCATAATGCTAGGATCAGTGTTTTCCTTTGCTGGCATGGCTTAACTTTAAACTGCAGGTAAAGGAAGCAAGGTTTGCAACTGCTGGTGACTGGCAGCAACTTCCAAACTCAGACCCTTTGCCTGCACAGTGTGAAATTGAACCATGCTGCTAAAGGAAGCGTTTCCCTGCGGGGGGCTGGCTCTAAGCACCGTTCAGCTGACTGGCATTTATAGTCAGCCCTGCTTAGGGAAGATTGGCTGCTCTACAGCGTTCCCAATCTCTATGGGATGCTGATCAGTGCTAAGAACATGCCTAACTTTGCCAAGGCGCAATCAGCAGAGCACCCTTTAAAGCTCCCAACTATTCCTTTGCAGCCACGTTTTTACCTGTTTTCATTATATGTGTCAACAGGTGTGGAGCAGGTGGCCATGGTTTGATGGAGAGAGGACTTGGGGGCCAACTAAGGAGCCCTGATACAGGACAATGAATATGTATGAGCAGTGCCTGCAGAAAGCCCTTAACTAGGAACCAAATAAATGGGAGCTCTGCAGTTAAGATTTTTTAAATGATAAATTGCCACTGCTGATTGGAAAGGGGCAACAGTGCTGAGGGAAGGAGGCGATTATTGATCTGTGTAACCCACTTTGCTGAGATGTTGTAAAAGCAAATGTATTGGCTTTGGCTTTGGCTTAGAGATGATTGTGGCACAAAACCTGCACTTTGAAATGCTTTAGACTTTTCATTTAGACACAAAAATCAGAGGGGAAATTTGACAGAATCTTTTATTCTGGAATAGCCTAATAAGAAATAGATTTAACTTCAACTAATAACTAGCAAACAACAAAGCATCATTAGTTTTAACAAAACAATGGCATCCTATGAATTTGAAAACTGAACCGTAAACATATTAAGCACACTTTTAAGAAAGCATGCTTAAGCTGGCAGCTTTGGTTTTAAAGGAAAATTAGCTGCATGGCATCCAAATACAAATTGAGGCACTGCACACATGCTCTAAATGTGTATCTCTGGAGGATCCTAGTGGTGCTCCCACTTTTGCCAAAAAAAGAAATCCTTTATGTTTAGTGAAAGCAGACATTTTATTTTAAGAGATTACGCTTGGCAAGCTGTTCTAAATTGGCAGTGGTTCTCTTTAATTCTGTATTAATCTAGTTTTTAGTAAAGGATTTTGAATTCTGCCAGTGACAGCTTGTGCACTGAGAGAAAGGGTCTTGTTTCCCATCATGATGATCTTAGAATGGAGCTAAGAGACATTCTTAGCAAATGTATCATCCCAACCCTATAGGACTGACATAACGGGAATAAAGGGAAGGAAAACTTGCAGGAAAAATTCATGGAAAGGAAAGAGAAGTACTTAACCCCCTTAAGCACACATACACACAGAGACATAATTTCCTGCAAATGTCTCCCAGGGGACTTGTTTCCTCCAGCTGGGCTACCTTCCTGTTTCAGAGCTTATGGGGATGGGATAAAATGGGGAGGGTATTTGCTGGGGAAGCTGGGAAGGGTTAAGCATTCCTCTCATTCAGCATAATTTTAAATGTAGGAACATCTGCAGAATTTGTGTTGAGCCTTCATATAGTTTACTTTTTCTTTTCGCCGACACACAAATTAATCTAAACCATTTTGCACTATCAGGGCCAAAATTAGTTTCAACTAATTATAAAATACTGTATAACATTATTGTTACTTGTGTAATGAGTTAACTTATTATTTATGGAAGGTTATTTCTGTTTACAGAACAATTGTTTGATGTTGAAAATGCTGTTGTGTGCCTATAACCTCTATGTGTGCATTAAATAACATCTAGGTATTGATAACTCATTTTCAAATGTGTCTTGGCTAGAGGAGTCTAATACAGAATGCAGGCCTCTCCGTTAGTACAGCATTTATCTGAATGTCTTCTTTGTTGTTAACTATCTACATTCCTACTTCCTTTGCCATATTCCTTCTGAAGAATGCACCATTTCCTAAAATTCTGCACCACAGGGTTTCACACAGTATAGCTTTTACTTTGCTTTTCCATAAGTTCTTGTACACATTTGTAAGCAATCTGAGGCATAAGTGAATCTGTTTAAAGTTTCTGAACCTGATTTAGCAAAAGGGATTGGAGTAACAGATGGCTTGATTCTTTTCATTTCAATGCATGTGAAATTATGAG